AAAAGAAGACCCTTAATGAGAAGGATTGATCTAACATCGGTAACAATGAGCTCAAACAGAGCAATTGTGAGGATGGGTGGGCTGGGCAGTGGCTCTCACTATGAGCCAGAATGAACTAGATGGCACCTAACAACAAATACTACTTGGAGGAGGCAGCTCAGCCTCATTTGTATTTTGAGTACCTTCCAACCTAAGGGGCTCATCTTCTGACACTGTAGCAGACAATATTCCACTGCTCTTCATATGATTTCAGTTACTAACCTCTCCTTCTTGCTAGTCAGTCTTAGTCTAGAAGCTCCTTGGAAATGTGTCCACCCTGCTGGTATTTAAAATACTGGTAGTGTAGCTTCCAGAATCACAGCAAAACACAAGCCAACAAGTATGACAAACTGAGAGATTCACGGTGGAGGGATGAAATACCCTCTATATTTATTGACAATATATACCTATACATTTCAACTGTTTACATACTTATGATTGGTGCCAATTTGATAATATTTTTATATTTCTATTGTGTAGAATGTAATCTTTTACTTGAAATCAATGTTATGTAATCACATCAGCAGGTATATAGTATTTATGTACTCTGATTACTTAAAAATAAGTTAATATTTCAAAAGGTTAAAAAAATGAGAAAGGATGATTGAAAATATGATCATATTTCTGTTCTGAGCTTTGATCTTGCATATGTGTTTTGCTTGGATCTAATAGTGACCATTCAAAAAGCAGATTGACAGACAGTGCAGATTATGATAGAATGAACAGACCACAGCAGCTGAGAGCTCAGGGAAATTTGGCAGAGCCAGTTTTGTTTTGGTGGAACTCTAACCCTTGATAATTATTTTATTTATATCATGAAAAATGACATTGTGGTTTCCAGAATCAGTTTTCTATCAAAGTAGGAGTCTCATGTAGGTGATGGCTTAAGTGTATTGATAGGCTTATATTAAATTGAGTTTAAAAATGTATCTATTTTATTCTTTATGTTATTCATAAATTTATATGACTTTCAGGCAGACCTTCAAAATAACTCAGGGCTAGGGGAAGGAGCTCTGGTAGTGTAGTGGTTATGAATCGGGTTGATAATCTCACGGTCAGCAGTTCGAAACTACCAGCTGTTATTCAGGAGAACCAAGAGGCTTTCTGCTCCCGTAAAGATTACAGACTTGGAAACCCAGTACAGGGTCCCTATGAGTGGGAACCAACTCCAAGGCACATAACAACAACAACAACAACAACAACAACAACAACAACAGGGAAAGGTAACAGATAGAAGACAGGATGAAGGAACACTGGCCATGGTTCATTCATCTATTTTTTCTACTGTTGAATATGTTGGCAATTTTCTATAAGAAAAAAGGTTTAAAAGGAGTTCATTTTTATGTAAATGGTCCTACAGAATAAAAATATAATATTGAACAACTTTGATCATACAGTACTCTGATTTTGAAACTTGTCATTCTTATTCAGCATATTTGTATAATAAAAATTTTTGAGACTTACATTTACATTTGACTTAAGTGATTTTTATCAAGATAAAAATGCCATAAGAATTAGATATCTCACATTTTAAAATGTTAGGCTGACTTTTAAGGTAGATTTTCATTAAATGAGGATTTAAAAATCACCAGCTACAAGCAAAAAAAAAAGTAATTATAATTTCTTGTTAGCCTCATTTTTAAGTACCTATTTGTATCTTATTGACTTAGGATGCACAATTTCAACAAGTAATAAAAGTGAATGTTTTTAATAAATATTCTGTGAATAAGGCTTTTTTATTCATTCAACATGACTTTCAATTTCATCATCCAGATTTCTGAGGGTGTACTGCATTTTTGTCAATACTGTAGCATCCTGCTTTCTTCAATGACTGGAGAATAACATGCTCATTAAAAAAAACAAAAAACAAAATTCCCCTTGTTACTCTGCATAAACTCAGTTAGTCTGAGATGCCGTTTAGAGCAATGGTGCACCCTAGTGGACAGAACTAGTCACTGACGCTCCCCTTCATCATTTGAATTAGGTCTGATATTTTTGGAAATTAAGCAACTAGAAGTAATGAGCATAATGTTATTAGTCATGTTATAACATTAGATAAAAAACATTTTTTTTTAATTAATGGGATAATTGTATTTAGGCATAGAGTATTAAACATTTATCCATTCTTAAACTCTGGTAGCGTGGTGGTAGTTATGTGCCGTGGAGTCGGTTCCCACTCATAGCCACCCTACACAGGGTTTCCGAAGCTGTAAGTCTTTACTGGAGCAGAAAGCCTCATCTTTCTCCATAGGAACAGCTGTTAGTTTCGAACCATTGGTAGAGTAGTGGTTAGGAATTGGGCTGCTAACCTCAAGGTCGACAGTTCAAAACTACCAGCTGTTCCGCGGGAGAAAGATGAGGCTTTCTGCTCCCATAACGATTTATAGCCTCAGAAACCCTGTATAGGATCACTATGAGTCGGAACTGACTCCACTGTACTTAATAACAACAACAAAGTTCAAATAGCATGTATATTGCATCTCAACATTTTCTCTATATACCCATATGCTGTGAAGTACATTTTTGGCTTTATTATTAATGGAACAATTTTCTACATCCAAACTGTATGGTTTTCAGTTCCTGCCATTAGGTGAACAAATGTGAATTTTTTAAAAGTCCCTTTTCCAAGCAATGAATGTAGTCCTGGCATGGCACTGTGCATTCATGCACTGGACTGCAAGCTCAGTTTGAATCGCAAGGTTGGCTGTTCAAGTTCCCCAGCCACTTCACAGAAACCCTACACAGGATTGCTGTAAATCGGAAGGAACTTGATGGTACTTAATAACAAGCTACACATTTTAAAAATTTAATTTAATTTTTTTTGGCTGTCTGAATTTACTTCATGGAGTTCGTTAAAAGAATAGCCTCCAGAGACAAAGATCTCAGAACTCAATCATGATTCTCTGAGAAACTTTAAGCAACAGATTGATCCCTTTGTGTTTTAGTTTTGTCACCTGCAAAATGGGCTTGAGAGTAGCTGATCCTTCACAGTCCTGTGACAATCAATAGGATATTAAGTCATGACTGCAACAAAGTAGACCCTATACAACTACTGTGACTCCTATTACTCCTGTCAGACGGCGGTTGTTATTCTTGTCGCTTAGTGCCATCAAGCAGATTCCGACTTACAGCAACCCTGATTAGGGTTTCTGAGGAGCAGGTGGTGGGTTTGAAGTGCAGACCTTGTGGTCTGCAGTCCAGTGCTGATCCTACAGTGCTACACCGGAAGTCTCCAATGGCACTTCCATCAAGTAAATGCACAATAAAAGCTGCCTAGGTGTCCAGCCTGACCTCTTGGAAGCAGTTTAGTTTTGTATTCTTCAAACTGCATGCCCAAGTCTGCAGGAAATGAACTGTTTAAAGGAAAGTAATGCTTGTGAAATACTACAGAAAAGTCTATGGAATAGACATAGAATAGCATTACACTCTCATTTTTTACACCTAACTCACTACATACTGCATTTTAAGTGAACACATACAGCAGAGAATTTATAAGCATTTCAAACTGATCAAGGTCACTGTTTCAAAGAGGCAAGGCAAATACTTTGAACCTTTCTGTAAAATTTCCATAACAATTTATTTCCACATAAAAACTGTAGAATGTATGAATGTAATTCATTTGGGTGTTTTGAGGATAAGTTAGCATCTCTCCCCATTGGTTGTTTAGTAGGAAAGATATTTCGATAAGATTTAAAATGTCTTTAAACTTAAAGAGGTGAAAGCGGAAGAATGAAAACTTTAAAAGGAAGAAATTCCAAGGATATGATATATCATTAAGGTTGTTGTAAAGTAGAGTCAGTTCCGACTCCTAGTGACCCTATACGGGGTTTCTGAGTCTGAAATCCTTACGGGAGTAGAAAGCCTCATCTTTCTCTCGCGGAATAGCTGGTAGTTTCGAACTGCTGACTTTAAGATTGGCAGCCCGACTCATAACCACTACACTACCAAAGCTCCTTCATTAATTATTTTTAAAAGTTAATTATTTTAAAAGCAAATGAATTTGAGCTTAGCATCCAATTTTGTATGCCTGCAATAATCATGAAAGGAGCTACAATTATCCCATAAGAACATGTCAAGCCAATGTAAACATTTTCTTTTCTACAGTCAGACTATATAGAATCACACAAATCTCAATCCCAGTATTGGCAACCTTCTAATCTGCTGTGTAGGGATGACTGTCTCATATTGCTAAGTTTTCGATTATTGCACCTACTGTGCAAAAGGTAGAAGTTTCCAATTTATGTATTTATAAAAACATCCTAAGTAATGCAGACCAATTTTTTTAAATTACAAACATGTTTCCTAAAAGCCCACTGTAGGAAAATCGATGTTTTATAGTTTTAGTGTGAAACTAAGAATGTTGTACTTGAGATTCTTATACGTGTTATGGAATCCTGGTTAACCCCACCATAGGGAACTATAATTAGTAAATTCATGCAAGATGCCTTCAGGCCTCACTATAATTCTCATTATCTTCTGAGCACTAGACTTTGTTATTTCCAAATGAGGAGGTCTTCCTAGAAATTCATTAACTTTACTTCCTTGCATAAGGCAAGTGAATTCATCAAATTCTGATTTATAGTAAAATCAGGCTTATGAGGTTCTAATAAGCTTTTCATTATAGAAACATATATTAATTTGTTCTTTTAATGCTTTCCCCTTAGAATGCATTTTGTTTCTTGGAGTGAAATACATGAATTGTGAAATTCAAAATTCTGCTACTTACAAGTACAATTTCATTTATGAATGCCCTATAATTAAGAAGAAATTGTGAGCTAAACAAACAATTAGCTTATTAGTCTGAAGACTAAATAGAGGGTAGGTTATTCATTCATCGGGTGAGTGTTCTTCGCTTTGACCCACTTTTCATTTATCAGCATGCTTTCTGGGTTTTCTACACACATCCCCACGCACATCGATACACACACATGAAAAAAAGGGAGAAAGGCTACCCAACTTACCTTCAGGCTCTCTAATTTTTCTTCCGGCTGCAGACTTCCGAAGCACACTCCTACCGGAGTTAAAAAGGCTAGCTAACTCTTCAAGAGGACTAGTGAGAGGCCTCAAGTTTGGAGGGCTGTAGGGAGCTGGAGAGGAAGAGTTGGAGTTGGATTTCCTATGGTCAGCTCTTGCCGCCTTGACTGGGGAATACGGAAGCTTGGAGAATGTGCTGCAAGCACCACTCGCTGGAGCAGAGTTTGGCTTTTCATGTACTTTGGGCAAATCCGAACTTGCCATTGCTTTTCCCGTAGTCACCAAAACGGTCTCTGGTGGGAACGTAAAATGTGTTGAGGGCCGGTAAGAAGCAGGAGGAGACAAAGGAGGCGGCAGAGGAGGAGGAGGAGGTGGGGTTGAAGGAGGAGACATTTTGTTTGAACCATTAAATAGAGTTAAGCCAGGGGAGGCAGGTCTGTCACTCTCCCCTCTTTGGTTTTTGGAATACTGTGGAGACAAAGGACTTGAACCTTCTGATTGGACAGGGTATTTTAGGTTGGTCTCCAGAACAGGTAGTTTTTTCACTTCCAGAGGTGTCAGAGGTGACTCATCAGAGGCAGGAGAGCATGTCACAGGGGTGGGAGGAAACACCAGAAGTGGGGGGCGATGGGGAAGCAGATTCGGGAAGGGGGCTGGAATGTCACAAGTGTCTCTAGCAGTTCCACTTGCTTGGCAGCTGATATCCCCATCCTCAAAGGTGACAGGTTTTCGACTCTCAAACAGCAGTGGGGGTGATGCAGCCATGAAAGAGACCAGGCTTTTGCTGTTCACTTCGGGCAAAAAGTACTTCATCTCTTCATATACCGACTCCCCTTGGTCTGGGCTGTCCCCCTCGGCACAGCTGGCCTTTATGACGTTCCCTACCATCTCAATATACACTGGTTCTGTTTCGTCCTCCTCCTCCCGAGACATGGCCAGGTTCAGGGGGCCCTGGTGTGGCCCTTCGGCAGGTACAGCCCTGTTTGTGGCCATGGGGTCCGGGGTGAGACCTGCTTTACATGTGGCCAGCCCGGCCTTGGCTTCTCCTGGCTTTGGGGCTGATATCTCTTCATAGGAGCCACTAAGCTTCGTGTTAGGGCTTCGTTTTGGCTTTCGAGGAGGGATCTTTTTCATAGTGCTGTAGTCATCACTGTGTGGCCTGGGACGGGTCAAAACTGAAGAAAGGAAGGAAAAAAAAGAAGTGGTTGGTAATTGTTAATAAGATTCCCTAGTGTTGTTGTTGTTGTTAAGTGCAGTCAAGTTGATTCCGACCCATAGTGACCCTGTATAGGGTTTCCAAGGAGCAACTAGTGAGCTTGAACCACCGACCTTGCAGTTCAAATGGCTTTGCAGTCTGACGCATTAGCCCACAGCGCCACACCAGGGCTCTGTAGTTGTTATGAATTGTGCTGCAGACCTCAAGGTCAGCAACTCGAAACTACCAGCTGTTCCACGGAAGAAAGATGAGGCTTTCTGCTCCCATAAAGATGTACAGCCTCGGAAACCCTGTACAGGGTTGCTATGAGTCAGAACCGACTCCACGGCACATAACCAACCAACCAACCAGTCTTGGAGTCCTGGTGTGGTGGTGTGGGTTAATATACCAGGCTGCAAAGCCATCTGAACTGCAAGGTCGGCAGTTCAAGTTCACCAACTGCTCCTTGGAAACCCTATACAGAGTCGCTATGGGTTGGAACTGACTCAATGACACTTCACAACAACAACAACAAAGACTTAAAGCTTTGGAAACGCTATACAGGGACTGGGTGAGTGAAGCCACCTCCGGAGCACCTAACAACAGCAGCTTGGGGTTTCACTTTTCCCAGCTTTGCTTTAGTTCCCACAGATCCAGTGTATTTTGTATCATGAAGGACCCGGGCTTGCATTTCAGTCCATCCTGCAGGGCTCCCAGCTAAGCCAAAGGTCTGAGGATGAGGCAAAGGAAAACGGGATTTTATTTTAGAACGAGAGGGCAAATTCCACACATTGTGAAAGATGTAAAGGAGAAAATAAGTGTCCCCAAGAATATCAGCCACCTAAGGGACCCTGGTAAGAAGCTCTAGCTGCTATCAGGCTGCTAACCTCAAGGTCAGCAGTTCAAAACTACCAACTGTTCCATGGGAGAAAGATGAGGCTTTCTGCTCCTGTAAAGATTTACAGCCTTGGAAACCCTGTGCAGGGTCACTGTGAGTGGGAACCGACTCCACGATACTTAACAACAACAAGGGACCCTGATAGTACAGTGGCTAAAGTACTTGCCTGCTAGTCAATACACAGAGAGGTCAGTGGTTTGAATACTCTAGGCATCTGCTCTGGCAATCTGCTTCCAAGGAGATTTATAGCTTTCGGATAATTTGACTCTGTCCTTTAGCATGGCTCTGAGTCAGAATGATTTTTTTTTTTTTTTTAATACATAAAATCAGCCACCTATAAATCTAAAGGTACCTGAATGCGATAAATAATTTGTACTTGACAACTTGTTGAAAGGTTGGTGGTTCAATCTCCCTGGTGATATCACAGAATGAAGACTTGAGGATCTGTTTGCATACAGATTACAGCCAAGCAAAGCTCGTTCTGCTCTATAAAGCATAGAGGTGCCATGAATATGAATTGGAATGGAGTGGAAAATGACTGGTTTGCTGACTTTGGGTTTAAGAAGCTCAGTGACATGATGATTTCGTAGGGGTAGGAGCATTCACACATCATGTTATTGTCATTAGTAGCTCTCCAGTCCATAAAGACTCATAGAGGTCATCCAGTAGATCTAGGATTGATATTTACAGTCTTAGGAGCTAATACAAGTATGCAATCAATATCAATCGAATAGATCCTAATCATTCAGAAGTGTGAAAATAGAAACCTGGGAAAAACAAACAAATGAGCTAGTCAAGGACATATGTCTAGAATATGAATAGCCTTGAATATTTCAACTGTTTAAAGTGAACAAAACAAAACAACCATAAAACTATCTACAGGGAAGAAGATGATTCAAAAAAGAAGAAGTTGGCTAACATGATTGGCAAGGGTAAGTCATACAATAACCAATAAACACATGTTGTTGTTGTTGTTAGGTGCCATCGAGATGGTACCGACTCATAGCCACCTTATGCACAGCAGAATGAAACACTGCCCAACCCTGGCCCAGTGTCCATAATATGTGCTATAACACAGGATGCTATGTGAATATGCAGCTGCTGTAAACATCATATTATATAACATTGCAGGAAACTATTTCTACTTCTCCTCCATTGACTGCTGCTGGAAGCCTGGGAAGAGCAAGGAAGGCGCACAGAGCACCCAGTTGTGCCTGCCAGATGTCAAAACAAAACCCAAGAGCCTATTCCAGGCCACATCCTCTGTCACCCAAGTCTACAACCCACCCGAGGTCAAGTGCTGCAAGAATCTGGGACTGAGGTCTTTACGACCATGTGCTTATTGTTCTATGGTGCCATTGAGTTTGTTCTCATTGTGACCCTATGCACAACCGAATGAAACACCATGGCTCCTTCACAATTGTTGACCATGACCGTTGTCACTTTGTCAGTACATCTCGCTGGGATTCGTCATCTTTTTCACTGACTCTCCACTTTACCAAGCATCATGTCTCTCTCCAGGGACTAGTCCTTCCTGATAACATGTCTCATGTATGAGAGGCAAAAAGTATCACCACCCTGGTTCTAAAGACCATTCTGGCTGCACTGCTTCCAACTAAGATTTGTTTGATCTTTTGGCAATCTACGTTACTTTCAATATTCTTCTCCTACACTATAATTAAATGCATCATTTCTTCTCTGGTCTTCCGTATTATCCAACTTTCACATGCACATGAGGCAATTGAAAATACCATGCCTTGAGTCAGTTCTACCTTAGTTATCTTTGCTGTTTAATACGTTAAAGCGGTCTATGAAGCAGATTTGCCTAATTCAATACGTCACTTGATTGCTTGACTGATGCTTCCATGAGTGTTGACTGTGGATTCAAGTAAAATGACATCTTTGACAACTTCAATCTTTTCTCCATTTATCACGAGTTATTTATTGGACCAGTTATGAGGATCTGTGTTTTCTGTACATTGAGCTCCAATCCATACTGAAGGCTTCAGTCCTCGATTTTCATCAGGAAGTATTTTAAGTCGTCTTCACTCCAACAAGGAAGGTTGTGTCATCTACACATTGCAGCTTGTTAATGAGTCTTCCTCCAATCCTGATGCCACATTTTTCTTCATATACTCTTTATATAATTCTTGGATTATTTGCTCTGCATACAGACTGAATAAAGGAGCTCTGGTAGCGTAGTGGTTACGAACTGGGCTGCTAACCTCAAGGTCAGCAGTTCAAAACTACCAGCTGTTCTGTGGCAGAAAGATGAGGATTTCTGCTCCCATAAAGATTTATAGCCTCAGAAACCCTGTACAGGGTCGCTATGAGTTGGAACCGACTCCACGGCACATAACCACCACCACCACAGACTGAGTAAGTATGGTAAAAGGATACAACCCTGGCACATACCTTTCTGATTTTAAACCATTCAATATCTCCTTGTTCTGTTTAAACAACTGCCTCTTGGTCTAGGTACAGGTTCCTCATGAGCACAATGAAGTGTTCGTGACTCTTTAATGTTATCCATAATATTGTCATGATCCACACATTCTAAAAACTGCCTTATCAATAAAGCACAAATAAAAATCTTCCTGGTATTCTACTGACTTTTTAATGACTTTTTGCTTCTTCCTGTATGATTTTTTATTTTTTTTTAATATCATCCCACAACTGTTCTGGTCTTGGATCATTAGTGTCTAACACATTAAATCTGTTCTTGAGATGGTCTCTAAATCCAGGTGGGATCCATTCAAGGTCATAGTTTGGTTCTTGTAGACTTGTTTTAATTTTCCTCAGCTTCAGCCTGAACTTGCATATGAGCAATCAATGATCTATTCCACAGTCTGCCCCTGGCCTAGTTTTGGTTGATGATATGTAGCTTCTCCATTGTCTCCTCCCACATATGTAGTCAATTTTAATCCTGTTTATTCTATCTGGTGAAGGCCACTGCATAATCACCTTTTATGTTGTATAAAAATGAAATTTGCAATGAATAAGTTGTTGGTCTTGCAAAATTCTATCATGTGATCTCCAGCGGCATTTCTATCACCAAGGTCATATTTCCAAATACTGATCCCTCTGCTTTGTTTCCAAATTTTATATTCCAATCACCAGTAATTATCAATGCATTTTGATTGCATGTTTGATCAGTTTCAATCTGAAATTTGTAGATGTCTTCAATTTCATCATTGCTGGTTTTAATGGTTAATGTATAAAGTGGAATAATAGTAGTATTAAGTAGTCTTCTTGTAGGTGAGTGGGTATAATTCTATCACAGACAGCTTTGTACTTAAAGATAGATCCTGAAATGCTCTTGTTTTTTTGGCAATGAGTGCAATGCCATTCCTCTTCAATTTGATTTTCTGTCACAGCAAACCATATGATTGACTTGTTCAAAATGGCTAATATCGTCCAATTTATCCCACTAATGTGCAGTGGTTACAAGTCACACTGGTAACCTCAAGGTCAGTAGTTCGAAATTACTAACTGTTCCATTGGAGGACAATGAGGCTCTCTGCTCCCAGAAAGGTTTACAGTCTTGGAAACTTACAGGGTTATTGTGAGTCGGAACTGACTCTACAGCACATAATCAATCAATCAATCAATCAATCATTGTCTAGGAAATCAATCTTTATGTGTTACACTTAATTTTTGACAACTTCCAATTTTCCTAGATTCATACTTCATACATTCCATGGTCCAAGTAGTAATGGATGTTTGCAGCTATTTCTTCACATTTTGAGTTGTGTCCAATCAGTAAATGATCTCAGAAAAACTTTTCTCCATTTGCATCACTGTGGTCAATTCTACTTTGAGAAGGCAGCTCTTCCCAAGTCATATTTTGAGTGCCTTCCGACCTGAGGGGCTCATTCTCTGGGACTGTTCTTTTGCTATTGATGTTTTCATCTTTTGGGAATATATCTGGCAATGCTCCACTGCTATTCATAAGGTTTTCAGTGGCTAATCTATCAGAAGTAGTCGGTGTCTCTTTTCCTAATCTGTCTTAATCTGGAATCTCCACTGAAACCTGTCTGCTACGGGTGGCCCTGTTGGTATTTGAAATACTAGTGGCAAAG